CCTGCATCGGCAGGCGGACTCGCAACCACTGCGCCACCAGGGAAGCCTGGAGGCTTCTATTTTTAGTGACCGTGACTCTTGTTCCTTCTCTCCCAGCCACCAGAGGAATTACTGAAAGACTTGGGGTTTCCCTTGGGGAAAAAATCAGAGTGTATGACTCATGTCTTCAGATCTCTGTAGGACTGCCCTGGAGCAGAGGGACCCAAGCAGACATGCTAAGCTCTACAGGGCACATCAATCCTCTGCAATGAGGTGGCATGAGGGGGGTTACAGGCAGGGAGGCTGCTTTGGACTCAACATAAAGGAAGCACTTTCTAACTGCCAGCATTGTTCAGCAGAGGCAGCCTCAGAGGGAGGTTGGCTCCGCATTACCAAGTATCTGAGCAAAGACTGTGGCTACTGCTAGGAAAGCTGCTGGAGGGTGGGCCAGTGGGAGCTGAACTAGATGACCCCTGAAATTCTGACTCCGAAGGAGGCAGGGGCCGGGAGTCAGGAGTCACTTCCTGAGTCTGCCCCTCAATACAACCTCTTTTAAGCAGAGCCTCTCCAAGTAGAAATAAGCAATGCTGTCTCTGATGGGACCACCCACCTCTAGGACCCCAGATACCCACATACACAGGGAGAAAAGGAGCCTCCCACATTCTTTCCCTCCTGCGGTGAGGACCCCACCCCCCACCCCGCTCCTGCTCCCGCAAACAGATCCCTCTCTTATTTCACAATGGAGGTGGGCAGGCCATGCTTATTGTTCTCATTTGACTGATGGTTTCTCAAGGCCAGAGAGGCACAGGAAGTGGCCGAGCTAACACCGGAACCCAGGTCTCCTGAGTCCCAGCCCGGGTGGCTGTTGCCCACTGGACCACGATGTTAGCTAGCTCTGTGCTTCATTCTGAAGGCAGACTTCCAAAGCCTCCTGGGCTTTGGAGACCCTGCCCAAAGCTGCCCAAAGCCCAGGACTCTAGGCAACACGGACGCCCCTCCCCCGCAAACCTAAGCCTTCCAGATAATGGGAACCCTCAGCCCTCTGCCCTCTCCTCCCAGACAGGGAAAGTTCTGAAAGTTCTTCCCAAGTGCTATAGTCTGCGTCCCTTCTTCTGTACTATGTCTTCTTGGGGCTGGAGAGCAGCCAGCCTTCCACAAGCAGCTAAACCAGAGGAGAGGGATAGAGAAGTCCTGGTGGGGGCAGGGAACCAGGTGAGGACCACCCAAGCTCTGAGAGGAGGGCCAAGAGCCATTGCTTCCCTCCCTGGCCCAGCTGGTGAGGAATTTTTTAAAGTGGATGCTTAGCTGTTTCCACTTCAGGCCTGAGTTGGAGGAAGAGTGATTACTACCATTATTGTATAACTGTTGTCTGTACTGGGCTAAGCAGTTTGCATGTTTTATCTCAATCTTCCAAGCACCTTTTTGAGGTAGGTATTCTATACAAGGCTCAGAGAGGTCACCAACTTGCCCAAGGCCACACAGCAAATAAGTGGTGCGACTCAGCTGCAAATCCAGGTTGTTTAGATACAAAAGCCTTTGCTCTTAACCATTGACTTCTGGGGGAGGTGAGAGAAGCAAAGTAACTGAGGAGGTGCCAAGGCTAGAACCAGGGGACTTTCACTGTCCCTCTCCTCTCTCCACCTGGCTGGCTCCACTTTCAAATGGGAACCAAGTGCGTCAGTAGAGGATTTATGATGCATTAGCCCCCAAATAGTGGAGGTGGGAGGAAGCTCTGACAAGTGTGTGTGTTTGTGTGCGTCAGAGTTTTTGTCTCTGTAACTGGGAGTGTGTGGGTGTCTGTCCTTGGGTAACTGTGGGACACCCCTTCGAGGCCTCTCTCTTCTGTCCTCACATCAAAACCGGAAAGTTTGGTTCCTTTTCTCCCAGTGGGCGTTAGGGCAGTGTGGTGTGGTCTCTCAAACCAGTCGGCTTTGGCTGGAATCCGTCCATTCACTGGCTGTGGGACATTGGGCAAGTTACTTAGCCTCTCTGAGCCTTAGCTCCCTCATTTAAAAAACGAGGATAAAGCACATACCTCACAGGCTGTTACAAGCATTTAATGAATTACTAAAAGAGAAACACTGCAGTGTTTGCACGTTAAGCGCTTACTAAGGGTTAAGTAATACTGCATTGTTCAGTCACGAGCTGCCACCCCCGGGGCGGTGCTGGAGTAGCTGAGACCCCCGCCCCCCACTTCCCCATCACAATTCGAGGAGCTAAGGCCCACCACAGTGGGGGCAGTCAGGAAAGCGGGGGGGAGGGAGCCAGAAGCTGTGGCGGAGCCCCCTCCTCACGCAGTTCCTCCCCGCAGCCTGTCCCCCAGGGTTTTACAAGGTGTCCCCGCGGCGGCCCCTCTGCTCGCCGTGCCCGGAGCACAGCCGGGCCCTGGAAAACGCGTCCACGTTCTGCGTGTGCCAGGAGAGCTACGCGCGCTCGCCCAGCGACCCGCCCTCGGCGTCCTGCACCCGTGAGTCCCCCTCCTGAATGCCTTCCGGATGGTGGGTGGGGCGGTCCATAAGGGCGTAATCGAGGCGTTGTGAGGGCAGGGGTTCCACACTCGGGGGCGCCAGGGCGCACGTGGGGGCCAGCGATCCAGACGGCAGAGTGGAGGGAGGGGAGCCTGGGGCGGTGATGGGGCCCGGGGCCCGGGGTTGGAAGAAGCAGGACAACAGAGACAGTCCAGACGGAGGGATGAGGTTAGGCTTGTTGGGGGATCACCGTGTGCGCCGCCTACAACCATCCCCGCCCTCACCTCTCCCAACTTTCCAGCCAGGCGGGGGACTCCCGCCCCTCACACTCTGCATCCCCAACCTCATCCCCTCACTGACATCCTCCCACCCCATCACTGACCGCGCCCCACTCCCACATCCCGCCCCTCACTGCTCCACGCCCCCGTCCCTCCCCCTCACTGCCCCCGCCCCCATCCCGCCCTTCCTCTCCCGGCCCCTGACGGCGCCCGCCTCTGTGCCCCCAGGGCCGCCGTCGGCGCCGCGGGACTTGCAGTACAGCTTGAGCCGCTCGCCGCTAGCGCTGCGGCTGCGCTGGCTGCCTCCGGCCGACTCGGGCGGCCGCTCGGACGTCACCTACTCGCTGCTGTGCCTGCGCTGCGGCCGCGAGGACCCGGCGGGCGCGTGCGAACCGTGCGGGCCGCGCGTGGCCTTCGTGCCGCGCCAGGCGGGGCTGCGGGAGCGCGCCGCCACACTGCTGCACCTGCGGCCCGGCGCGCGCTACACCGTGCGCGTAGCCGCGCTCAACGGAGTGTCTGGCCCGGAGGCCGCCGCGGGAGCCACCTACGCGCAGGTCACCGTCTCCACCGGTGCCGGGGGTAAGGCCTTCCGCACCCCGCGCGCCCGCCCGTCCGGCCCACCGCGAGCATCCCCACAGCCCGCAGCCACCCCGGATAAACTGCGATCGCTGGTCTTAAACAAAAATCCCCGACCCTGGCGACCCCCCAGCGAGGTCAACCCCCTTCCCGAAGGCCATGGAGGAGAGATTAAGGATACAGGTGACTCTGTGCCTCTGGGCCAAAGAGGTTATGAGTGTTAGTGATTCTGCGGGAGCCAGTGCGTGCTCCTTCTTCTGACCTCGCGGAAAGCCTATGTCCCACATCCAACTCTGCAGTTGCCTTGCCTCTCGTTTCCCGGCAAAAGGGGTGGAAGGTTCCTCAATCTTTTTGCCCTCCCTTCTCAAAAATTTCAGTGGGAACCAGAATCATACCTCCTTTTTTCCTGTCTTAGAAAGAGGGACCCTGTGTGTATCCCTCTGACTTAATCCCTCGGTCTCTGCAAGGGTGTTGCTGCATTGTCACCCTCTTTCATAGTCCTGGAAAAGAGCAAGGAAGCACGGAGGGTCAGACTGTCAGGGGCGATAGAATTCACTGGTCAACACATAACAGTCACATTTCGGAGTCTGGAATTGAGATGAATAAATGAAGACCTACAATCCCTTTATACTACATCTTCCTCATTCCTGACATTTACTTTTGATTTGTCTCACTCAGCTTCAAGTAATCCTTCAAGTATCCTTTGCAAGAAAGATAAGTGAGTGAGTGGTATGGTCTTTTCATATCTGAGAAGATATGTTCCGTTTGTGACTCTGCTTCCCCGTCTGATGGCAGTTGTATTGCAGAAGAGTCTGAGGCGAGGGTAATCGTCATTGTTTTGTAGGTGACTTGAATACGAATGTGTACATGCATGGATGTTTGTATAATTCTTAGGCTACTGGTGAAAATAAACTTTAACCAATATTGACCTCTTTTCATTGAGTTTGGCTAGAACATAGTAAAACTTTGGATCTGCATACCTTTTTTTTATTCCTGGAAAATTTTTTTTTCAGTTTTTATTTCCAGTTGTTACTTTGACTAGAACTTCTAATAACTCTGATCTCTCTCTTAAGACTCTTTCTAAACCTTGAGTTGTACGTCCATTTTCTGATTCTCAAATCTTGTCGCTTCCTTTATCATTTTCAGCTCTTAATCCATTTCCTCTGCCTTTTGGGAGAGATTCTTAATCCATTTCCTCTGCCTTTTGGGAGAGATTTCCCAACTTGCCTGATTTTCCGGGACAATTTTTTTTTTTTTACTATCTCTATTATGATTTAACATTTGCTATTGCACTTATATTTTAAAAAATTCAGAATAGAAAAAGAAAATGAGCACCCATAATCCTATTATCCAGAGATATACAACTACTAATATCTTGGAGTATATCCTTCCACATTTTTTTCTATTTCTATATCCATACCTAGAACTATCTACTATAAAACCCCTTTTGTATAATATACATAACACAAATTTTTATCTGGTATTTCCTGATAATAATCCTGTTTTGATATAGATGGGTTTAAAAATCATGTTAAGGAAATAGTCTTCTGTTTCCATTTTGTTCATAAAAATACTTTCACTGATTGAGTGCTGCTCTGTGTTTGGCACTGTGCAATATGATTTTCTACATTAATTCATTTAAATCAAATGATAATCATCTTTCAGATGGTGAAACTGAAGTCTGAGAGGCCAAGTGAATTATCCGAAGTCAGCCAGCAGGTAGTCGAGACCCATCTTTGAACTCAGGTCTGTCTAATACCAAAGCCCTGCTTTTAGCCCCTTGGCCATATAATGCTTTCACTTTTTACTGAACTTTTCAGAAAAATCAGCAATGGATGTTAATTTTACAAAATGCTTCTTGAGCATCTTTCAAGATGACCACGTTTTCTTGTCTTTGACCTTTCGATACGATGAATTCTATTAATGGATTTTTTCAGTGTGAGTTCTTTTTGCCTTCCTAGATTATACCCTACTGCAGATGAGTGTGTTATTCTTTTAATATTTGCTGAATTAATTTGCTTATATTTTAATATTTTTTCCATCTACATTTATAAGAGAGAGTAGTTTTTTTTTCTTTAATTAATTTATTTATGGCTGTGTTGGGTCTTCGTTTCTGTGCGAGGGCTTTCTCTAGTTGTGGTAAGCGGGGGCCACTCCTCACAGCGATGCGCGGGCCCCTCACTATCGCGGCCTCTCCCGTTGCGGAGCACAGGCTCCAGATGCGCAGGCTTAGCAACTGTGGCTCACGGGCCCAGCCGCTCCGCGGCATGCGGGATCCCCCCAGACCAGGTCCTGAACCCGTGTCCCCTGCACCGGCAGGCAGACTCTCAACCACTGCGCCACCAGGGAAGCCCCCGAGAGTAGCTTTTTTTTAAAATTATTGTGTTCTTTGTCAAGTTTTAGCATTTTGGGCTGGCTTTGAAAAAGGCATCAGGAATAATCTCTTCTTTTTCTCTGTTCTGGAACAGTTTAAATAGCATAATTATCATTCTTTGAAGGCATGCAAAACTGCCTGGGAAACTGTACCTTGCTGATGTTTGCAATCTTTTCTATAACTTCTTCTTGAATCAGTTTTGTTAATCTGTACTTTCATAGAAAATCTTTTGATGATCTTTTTCTAATTTATTAGCCCAGAAACGCTTATTTAAAAACTTTCCATAGTATCTGGAGTTAACTCTTACTTTCTCTTTCTTCATATTGTGTCCTGTGATGTCTTTTTTAAAATTATTCTGGTCAGAAGTTTATTTTATTGGTTATGACAAATAACCAGCTCTTGAACTTACCGATTCCACTGCTCTTTACTTTTGTCACTTATTTTATGATTTTATCTTTATTACTACCATCCTCCTGATTTCCTGAAGTCTTTTTCTAGGTGGGTTCAGTGCTTAGTTGTTTTTTTTAAATATTTATTTATATGTTTGCCTGTGCCAGGTCTTAGTTGCAGCACATGGGATCTTTGTTGCTGCAGGCAGGATCTTCATTGCAGCATGCGGGCTTAGTTGCAGCATGCGGGATCTTTAGTTGTGGCATGCATGTGGGATCTAGTTCCCTGACCAGGGATCGAACCCTGCATTGGGAGCACGGAGTCTTAACTGCTGGACCACCAGCGAAGTCCCAGTGCTTAGTTTTTATATTATAGTTTTAATATTTTAAGCCTATGAAATTTCCTCTAAGAATAGCTTTGGTCACATCCAGTATGTTTTTATACATAATATATCACATTTTTCGTATTGTCATTTTCTTTGTAGATATAATTCACATACCATAAAATTTCACTTACCTTTTAAAGTGTACAATTCAGTCATTTTTCCTAGCAGCTATCACAAACTGTCTAATTCCAGAACATTTTCATCATCCCCCAAAGAAACCCATTAACAGTCACTTCCCATTCCTCCCACCCCCTCCAGCCCCTAATAACTACTAATCTACTCTCTGTTTCTATGGATTTGCCTATTCTGGGCATTTTATATACATGGAATTATACAGTATGTGGACTTTTATGTCTGTCTTTTTTCACTTAGCATAATGTTTTCACGGTTTGTCCATGTTGTAATATGTATCAGTATGCCATTCCTTTTATGGCTGACTAATGTTCCATTGTATGGATATACCACAATTTTGTGTATTCATTCATCAGTTTATGGACTTTGGACTGTTTCTGCTTTTTGGCTATTAGAGTAATGGTGCTATGAACATTCATGTACAAGTTTTTGTGGAAACAGGTTTTCAGTCCTCTTGGGTACATACTTAGGAGTGGAATTGCTAGGTCATATGATGTCATAGACTGAATTGTCTCTCCCAGGTTCATATGTTGAAGCCTTAACCCCCAGTGTGACTGTATTTGGAGATAGGGCCTTTAAGGAAATAACTAAGGTTAATGAGATCCTAAGGACGAGGCCCTAATCCCAAGGACTAGTGTCCTTACGAGAAGAGGAACAGACACCAGAGCTCATTTGCTCTCTTTGTGCATACACAGAGGAAAAGACAGGTGAGGACACAGCAAGAAGGTGGCTGTCTGCAAGTCAGGAAGAGAGCCCTCACTAGAATACAAACATGAATCTGCAAGCATCGTCTGGGATTTCTAGCCTTTAGAACTATGAGAAAATACATTTTTGTTGTTTAAGCCACCCAGTCTACAGTATCTTGTTATGGCAGCCTGAGCTGACCAATACATATGGAAACTTTTTTATCTTTTTGAGGAGCTGCTGAACTTTTTGAGGAATTGTCAGACTGTCTTCCAAAGCAACTCTACCTTTTTACATTCCCACCAGCAAATGTACAAGGCTTCCAGTTTCTCCACCTCCTCACCAACACTTGTTTGTCTTGCTGATTTTAGCCATCCTAGTGGATATGAAATGGTATCTCATTGCAGTTTCAGTTTACATTTCCATAATGACTAATGATGTTGAACCTCTTTTCATGTGCTGGGTTTTCTTTTTGTCATTGAGTGATAAGAGGTTTTTTGTCTAATCTGTATATTCTGTATACCTTTGTATTACTTTCCTAGGGCTGCTATAACAAAGTACCAAAAATTAGATGGCTTAAAACAAAAGAAATTTCTTGTCTCACATTTCTGGAAGCTAGAAGTTTGAAATCAAGGTGTCAGCTGGGCCGTGCTTTCTCTGCTCTAAGTGAGAATCCTTCCTTCCTTCTAGCCTCTGGTGTTTGCTGGCGGTCCTTGGCCTTCCGTGGTTTGTAGATGCGTCACTCCAGTCACATGGCCCTCTTTTCCCTGTGTGTCTCCGCATCATCTTCTCTCTATGAGAGTCCCTCTCTGTGTCTAAATTTCCCCCCATTCAGAAGAACACCAGTCACATTGGATTAGGGCCCACCCAGATGACTTCATGTTGACTTGATTACCTCTGTGAAGACCATATTTCCAAATAAAGTCACATTCTAGAGGTACTGGGGGTTAGGACCTCAAAATATCTTTTTGGAGGGACACAGTTCAACACATAATGACCATTATGATACATGGTTTGCTAATATTTTCTCCTACTCTG